GTAGGGAAAACTTTAAGCTTTCACATTACAAAGTAAAAAATTTAAGTTTTCTTGGACCGTGTCAAACCACAAAGTAATAAAAAAATTTCAGCTCGTAGCTTTCTATATCTAAAAATTACCAAATTCATTAATAATTTCAATTACAGAAATTCAAAAAATATAGCGACTTTTCGAAAGTTGAAATTTTAAATCTTTTCTAAAGCCCTTTTTTCTATTTAAATTTTGTTCATTTTAATAAAGTTATAATTGCTTGAAATTTTGAAGTTTGCAGCGTTACAAACTTTTATTCCAATCTAATATTTATGGCTACGATATGCGTATAAGAGAGTAGTTTTTAAGAAGAATTTTGTGAATGCTTCGTTAAGCGGGGAAGTGATATTGTATTTTTTTATCAGTATTGTTATATTTTCACGCATCAATCACTTTTTTGATCTACGGCGACTGATAAATAATTGTTTGTGTGCACGTGAACATATTTTGGCTTTTGAGGAATCAATGACGTGTATGAAGATTTTATTAAATCTTTCTTAAAAAATTATATAGATGCTTCTCTATGCGTATACGAGACGAATGTTCACACATCCATAAATGAAACGGCGCAATACTGATCCTACCATCTTCTTCCGTAGTTGTTTACGTTTTCTCTTGTCTCTCATCCTTTTCCTCGTCAATTGCGACTATGCGCGATCAAATTTTGTAAATGTGAATCATACGATTCGCGCACATCACGTCTGCGCCGCTTGACTGTATCTCTCTTGCTACTGAGAATGTGAATGATAACGATAACGCCGATCAAGCCGTCGAACGTATTGATAAACGATTTCGAAATTGTTACCATCATTGCGCGATCAGTAGTGGAATTCCTTCGGTGGGCGAAGTTGATTCCTGTTGTGGAGAGATTTTCAGTGATCGATCATCGTAGACTCTTGTAACTGTATACGTTATCTCTTTTCGCGTGATCACGACGATTATCGTCTACGTGTGCGTGCCCCTGAACTGTGAGCTAAGCTAATTGATGGAAGTGAAATCATAATGTCCTTCACGTTAACTTGGATGTCATGAGTCAATATATCTAACCAAATCACTTAAGGACTCTGTGATCTCGGAGGAAAGAAACATTTATGATAAATAAATCAGATACTTAGATATATTTTTTATTGAATGTTTCTAACGTGACGTAATAATTAGAAATTATTACGTCGATAAAATTCATGACATTTGAGCGCTAAATGTTATCTGATAATAATCTTTCTTTAATTATAACGAGGCGTATTATTGACATTGTATTTATTTGCTTGCTGCACACAGGATTTTGCACGAGTTGAATTGTATTATAATTACTTCGAAAGTCATTTATATCTATTTAATTTTAGCAAAAATTTTCAGCATTAACTAATTAAGCTAATTAGTTAATAGCTCTAATTTATAAAGCCTGAAAAATATAAGCTCCAATTTATAAAGCCTGAAAAATATAAGCTCCAATTTAAAAAATGCCTGAAAAATTCGGAAGCTAAATGAAGAGTTTCCGCGTTTAGTTTTTCTGCGCTTTTTTGTCAAAATTGTCCGACGCTTTTATCAGGAAGAAAAAGAAATTTTTCGGAGACGGACTGCGTTCATTTTGGATGCTTTCAACGCTTATATTCTTATTTTACGATAATCTTTCCGGAAGCCTGTTTGAAAGTACGCGCGAATGGCTTGCGATCACGTGGACGTTGTGGAGGTCGTGGTCATGACTCGTGGATGAGGTCTAGTTACATTTTGAGAACATATTTGCGATGTCGTGGTACTTCCAATGATGGATACATCTACAGTACAAAGGGTAGGCAAGAAAGAGGGAGAGGGACGGCGGGATGAACGGATTATACGACGAATTTGTGCGCACCGTCTCATTAACTGTTGACAAGTGGAGCCGTCAATTGACTGCCTCATTCGATACTATCACTTATAAAACTTTTGTAGGCGCGGATTTGAACGGGGCGTGTTTAGCTGTGTTGGGCGAGGAGGACGAGGAAGAAAAAGATGCTGTCGTGAAACCCGAACTCCGACCTGGCCTCCGGCAGGCACTACGGACGCGATAAACAATGTTGACGTGAGTCAATGGCGCTCTGCGAGCAAGAGGACGTTGCAAGGGATAAGACGAGGGTGAGAGGAGCAGAGCGAAAGCAAGATTACAGAAACGATGTTACTGCCTGTACGAGTAGATAAGACGTGTTAATCGTGGAGAACGCTGATCCAAGAGCAATGGATGATGAACAGCCGGCGAGGGAAGCCAACAAGATCTGTGGAGTCTGTGGTGACCGGGCACTTGGTTACAACTTCAGCGCTGTCTCTTGTGAGAGCTGCAAGGCTTTCTTCAGGAGAAATGCATTGAAAAACAAGGTGAATTCCGCTCCAATTTGAAGCATTTTTATCTGATTTCTCTCAGAGTAAATAATCTTAATTTCATATCTAGAGAATCTTGATTTTGAATCTAGTCCGTATTTATAGTATCAGATCTTTAAGGTTTCCTTAAATTTATCTTTGAAATGCTCAGTAGCCAATAAAGTAATTTGTAAAGCATCTAGAGATAAATTTAAGAAAGCTTTAAATATAAAGCTTGATTATAAATATGGACATAATTCCTCGAATTCTTGGAGACTTCAATGAATTTTCTGTTCACATAATTATTTCTGAGGAAACTGTTTTAAAAAGAAATTTCGTTTTATCTTCCAGCATTAATTTGAATATCGAAAAATTTTTTCTTAAATTTAAATATGACTTATTAAAAGAATATATTAGATAAACATTGTTGGATGATTGCATATGACTCATTAGTAATCTAATGCTTTATAAATTTTAACTTCTCAAAAAAAAAAAAATAAATAAATAAATCATGTCATTGTGTTAAATGTATTAGTTAATTTGAAAGAACTCGTTTCAAAAGAACTCAAGAAGATTAATCTTAATATTAAAGAGAACTTAATTCAAATTCAGTTTTTTCACATTTAAAAAGTGAATCAAAGCTTTCTTAAACGAAAATTTTTAAATTTTCTATAACTAATTAATAATTTCATGTTTTGAAGATCTTGTTATTGAGAAGAATTTTGCAGTATCCATCGGTCGATCGTAATTTGTTTACTAATGCGATTGGAACATCTCATTTGACTTTCCAAAAGATTAATAATGGGCGTATATAAGAAAATGCAATTATTAATCTTAAGAGCAACATCTGCATATTGAAATTTATTGATAATGGACTGTTAAGAATATTAGATAAGATGTCTTTTCTTTCAGATATTAATGTTTTAGCACTTAAAACTGATATTTTTGCATTTAAAATAATTTTCATTTAGTAGGACAAAAAATTATTATGATTTATTTATGAGATTAATTAAAAACAGACCGATCAAGATAACGAAGTTCTTGATAATATTTTTGAAATTTATAAGAACGTTATCAATAAATATGTATAATAGCATATTTTATAGGCTAAAAAGAAACATGTATTCTTGTTGTAGGACTTTAAATGCCCCTTCACGGAAAACTGTAACATTACAACTATAACCAGACGATTTTGTCAAAAATGTCGTTTGGACAAATGTTTCAATATTGGCATGCGCAAGGATTATATTATGTCTGAGGAGGACAAGGTTTTGAAACGTAAGAAGATCGAAAAGAACCGCGCAAAGAAACGATCTCAGCTTGACAGTGGCAAAACATCGAAAACCAAAAAGGACTGCGTGGACGACTGTACGTTTGAAGACACGTCAATGTCGGTCAATTCGGTCGCGTCGACAATATCGGAAACATACTTTTGGGAGTCCGATAGAAAATATACAGACCTAGATAGCAATAGGCAAAACGTCGTTGAAAGTATGAGTCCAGTGACAGCAGCGAGCGTGCCAAGTCCTTCAAGTCCACCAGAGAATATGAATATCGCCGAAACAAAGACTTTAGATATGATGAAGGAATCCGTTCACGGTTTGAAGACTAATCTTGCAAGGTATGACCAACTTATCTAATGTGTAGAGAAGGACACAGAAGTGAATTAATCAATAAAGATTAAATAGATATTGTCTGTTTACAGCCGCACGAGATTCGCCGATCTCAATGTAGCGCCTCAGAGTGTAGGGACGGACAAAAACTCTTCTCTAAATTCAGGGAAATACGAGCAAAATTCGTTGCAATTCAATTCCGAGTTCGCAGATGTTAACCGCGAATCATCAAACTCTGCGTACAGCTCTGCGTTCGAAGAAAACGTGCCAAATTATTCCAAATTTGAGCAAACTCGCGAACAGAATTCTTACGTAGATCGCACTTTGCAAGGCGAGACAAGTCAGTCTGATCTGGATTCGTCGCAACTTACGAAAGAGGAGACATCAATATGTCAAAAGCCGAAGGAAACGTGTTCAAGCGGGAGTAATTTGGTCGCAAAGTTTAAGCAGAATCCCAGCCTACTAACAAAGTTTGTCAGTAATCCAAATTTAGTAGCGAAAATATTTCAAGATCGGAGAATAATAATGAAGATTATGACGGATCCTGACATGATTACGTGCTTGGCAACGGATCCACATATCACGCAATTCTTGGAGGAGAACAACGCGATCGATACGATGATCATTGGACGTGATGTCAAAACAAAAGTTCAATCCAAAGAAGCTCCGGAAAATAATAGCGATTCGGATGATTCTAGATATACGCCAAAATCTAAAGGGAGTCACGTGGAAAATCCAATTCTGACGGACTTGATTACGAACCGTAACTCGGAAGATTGCAAAGATCAAAATTTAAAATCTAATGCAAATGCAGACTGGAATAAAAATACAGCTGACGTTACCAGAGATATTCTTCAGGACGTTCAAAGGTAGTCCTCGATGCATCATATTAGGTGTAATATTTTAACGATACGCTATGAAATCTGCTTAAAATTTAATATTTGTTTCAGAATAGCAATTGCTGCCAATTCTATAGAGTCTATCTTATGTGAAGCAATCAAATTAGAATACTCAGCATTTTCCAATTTCGGTGGTAACCAAAGTAGCAGGGAATTGAATGATGCCGAAAGAGCGAAATTAAATGAGCTGATAGTTGCTAACAAAGCATTATTAGCTCCGTTAGACGATGATATAACGAATTTGGTTGACGAGGACTGTAAATTCAAAGTAACGTATTCAAAATGTTATGTCTTTCGTATATGTATAATTTGGGGGGAAAGATAAATAATATAAACATAAAATATTTATTTGCAGAGTAATTTTGGACAATCTGATCCAATGTTGTTAGACGTTATAAATTTAACGGCTATAGCAATTAGACGCTTGATAAAGATGTCTAAGAAGATAAACGCCTTTAAGAATATGTGTCAAGAGGATCAGTTGGCTCTGTTAAAAGGTGGCTGCACGGAAATGATGATCTTAAGATCGGCCATTAATTACGATCCGGATAAAGACATGTGGAAGATACCCCATAGTCAAGAGAGCATGTCAAGTATCAAAGTTGACGTTCTGAAAGAAGCGAAAGGAAATTTATATGCGGAGCACGCAAGATTCGTCAGAACATTTGACCCTCGGTGGCGAGATGAAAACATCATTTTGATTTTAAGCGCAATTGCTTTGTTTACTCCTGATAGACCGAGAGTTGTACATGGTGATGTTATTAAATTGGAGCAGGTAAATCGAAAAATTTTTTAAGTTACTTATTCTAAAACATTCTTATACATTAAAATACAGTATATAATTTATAGTAAAATTTACATAATATTAAATCAATATAAAAATTAACAATTTATAACATGTTTTTTTTTAGCAAAGTCTTAATTTTTTATCTTGATATGAAACATTTAGAAAATTAAATTTGTAAGATTATATTTTTTATAGATTTCTTTCTTTCAGAATTCGTACTATTATCTCCTTAGACGGTATCTCGAGAGTGTTTATCCTGGTTGCGAAGCTAAGTCCACATTCCTCAAGTTAATACAGAAGATTTCTGAACTCCATAAACTGAATGATGAGGTCGTGGGAGTTTACTTGAATGTCAATCCATCCAGCGTAGAGCCGCTGCTTATAGAAATATTCGATTTAAAGCACTGATTATTAGTTTGTAAAGTCATGAGTTTCTACTTTATGTGTATAATGGGAAAATTTAATTAGTGCATTCAAATATAGCATTTGTTGCGCATGTTTCTAGGATTATTCATAAACGACGAAAATACGCGATAGCTATATCGCCGATCTGGATATTTTTTATGAAAATGTGATTATTGTAAGTAAAATTTCAACTGCATTGCCTCCTGTATAAATAGTATCAATATGTTTAAATATCTTTAAACAATGAAATGAATATATATATATATATATATATATACATTTCATTGTTTAAAGATATTTAAACATATTGATACTATTTATACAGGAGGCAATGCAGTTGAAATTTTACTTACAATAATCACATTTTCATAAAAAATATCCAGATCGGCGATATAGCTATCGCGTATTTTCGTCGTTTATGAATAATCCTAGAAAAATGCATAAATGTATGCGTACAACGACAGCATAATAATTCCTAAATGGCTGTTTCGATCATGTTTTCGAGAAATAGTTAAATATATATATATATATATTTTTAAACACATGGATCGTTAAATTTTAAGTAAATGAACGTTATTCAATGCAACAAGTTCATATATTATATATATATATATATATATATTATATATATTATAGAATTATAATTATGTTGTTAAAAATTTGTTTTTAAAAAACAAGTATATGAATGAAAAAAACTCAACTATATGAATTATGATAGTTTCAGCTTTAGCCAGAGTCTACATGTAAATAAGAGAGAAAGATGTTATACTTGTATATGTGTATTGCTGCAATGTACACGAGATAAATTGTGATATCGTGATATAAATATATTTTTCAAAAATACACAATAAAACGCTTCTCTTGTACTATATATATTTAATTAACACTAATGATAATTTTGTTACATCTCTCACCAGATATGATACATCTGTGGATCTCTTAATCATCTGCGTTCGCTTGTTGGTATAAAGCCAAAAGTGTACAAAATGAGAATTATTATCGAACCAATAATACCCGCGAGGAATACGAAACCGAAGATAAAAAAAATCAAATACAATACAATTTTAATGAATAGACTGAAAATCAACCATACGCAGCTCCAGGCCGTGTTCCAGATGGCTTTTAGTCCCATTCTTTTATTACTGAAGTTTGGTGCGTATAAAGGAAACAAAATCCAAATCTCGATTGCGCTATAAAAAATTTGTTGGTTCTTGTATGTCTATCTTCTTCCATCATGATCCTATTAATTTTTTTTTAGTTTATAAGGATAAAATAATCCTAAAGTACATCACTCTCTAACAACATGTACTCAAGAAGATTTTATTATATTGCTTTTATTATATTGATTTCGTAAAAATTTATATATGTACATGTTAAATCGATATTTACAATCTGTAATTTTTACAAAAACGATTTTTCATTTTTTGCAGATCTGCGTAGCTTATCATTTGTATATTTAGATCTGCTACCCTTGTGCGTAATCGCTTCAATCAGGAACTTAGATCTTTCTGATTAATCATCATGCGAGATAATTCGTTTTTGTTACTTTTGTAACGTATTTGCTATAGATAATGTATTTTAGCACTGACTAAAAAACGCTAGCGTTTTTTTTTTCAAAATTTCCTTATTTATTTATATCTTATCATGTACTTTCTTCATTTCCATGAACCTGAGCACTATTGTAGTCAGACATATAATTTTTTAATTCTATCGAATGTTCTGTCTTTTGCGTTTCCGGATAGTGATCGCGTTTGTAATGGAAAAAAGTTTCGACGTTGCTATCATATGGCTTGATGAACGAACAATTAATCTTCTCTGCGGCCAGATAACAGGCGCCTAATGCCGATGATGTTGTCAAGTGCAATAAACTCAACTCGTCCACAACATTCCTGTTGTGGATTTCGTTCATGAAACCATTTTTCATAAATTTCCACGATTTCCATACGGATCCGACACAGATCACCTTTAAACCGCCATGAGCCAGTTTAAGATCCTGAAAGAAAAATACAATTAAATGAAATTATTGGAATTTTAAAATATTTTTTTAAACAAAGTTTTATTTCACAAAAATTAAATCATTTTCAAATATATATGCATGTACATATATTATATATATAAGATCCAGCTTCGTTATAAACATTTAATTTCTAGTTCGTATTGATTGTGTTCTTACATGTACGGTCTAAAATAATATTCTTATTAGATTAAAATAAATAATTCTTAATCGTTTTGTTTTTTAGAATACTAACGTTATGCGCCTTCTTCGAAACGGCGTTAATATGTTTCGCCAGAAGTTGTCCAGCTTCCTCAAAGATTTTCAAGCACAGTGGATCACCCCTTTCGCAGCCGATTGCAATTTCCTTGGCGAAACCGGCAATAATGCTTTTGTCAAAGTTTGCATACACGTATGGTAATATACTCCGCCTATCAGTCACATTGAAATAACTTTTCATTGCCGGCCAAACGTAACTTATTGATTCTGGTGCTTCAATGAATCCATCAATATCATCGAATACATATTTACAGGCACGATAGGCGATCCAGTAAGCTTAAAACAAGCAAGAGAAAATAATTAATAGTAGCTAATATCAATAATTTAAATGTAAATTATTGAAGGAATTTATTTAAATGAGAATTTAGATCAATTGTTGTCAATTAAAAGAATAAAATATTAGGTGTTGGAATTAATTCGTAGCGTTTTACAAGTGATGGGAAGTACTTTCATTAATGTATTTTTTAATGCTCATGTGAAATAAATAACATTCTTTCATTAAAAAACGCTACGAATTAATTCCAACACCTAATATTATTTACGAATTTTATTTTACTCTCTCTTACAAGATAAAATTAAATTAAGGATTCTAAAACTAGTCTACTATTTATTTTTCTTCTATCCATTTTTATTTATCCAAAATCTAATAAAGCTGATTTTGAATGTTTTGAACGTTTTGAACATTTTTGAATTTTGACACTTTTCCATATTATGTTCTTTTACAGTAAACAATGTGTACCTCCTCCTTCGTCGCCCATTATGTGTCCCCATCCCCCACAACTGTGAATCTTCCCGTCCGGGTTCATGAGTAAAGCATTGCTGCCAGTTCCAGCGATCAATACGATCCCACCGGATTCTAGGCCAGTCCTAAGGCTACCAAGAGTATCTGAACTAATCACATAATCTTTGGCAGACTGCGGATATTTTTCCAACAAAGTTTCCACAATTTGACGATTGATGGTCTCCTCCTCGCAACCGCTTAAAGTAAGTGCCTATTGATGAAAAAAATCGGTAAATGAATTCTTTCTTTCAAAAATCAAAGTTGATTCCATTTAATCGAAAATTTGAAATTTGAGAGTGTCACAGAATAAATTAGACTGTTTATTTCAAAATAATTTTATATGGTATTTATGTGTCATTTAGGATTGTTACTTATATTTATGATTATATTATTAATTATATTTTGCAGTTATAATATTATAAGTAATTATATGTGTGTAATACATATAATTATGTGTTATTAATAATGAAAATACTCAATTTTTACTCACTACGCAATCTAAAGGAACATTTTCTGGTATATCTAGCATTTGTTTACCCCTCTCTATCATCGCGCTGAGTCTGGCAGCTGTCTCGTCTTTTCCAATTACCTAAAAATAAATCAAATTTCTACATTCTTTTGTGATCACTTTCTTCAGCAGGTGAAACATTTCTGTAATTATTTGAATCGTTTATTTTTAAAGTGCTGCAGACTTAGTTTCAAAAATTTTGTTGAAATTTTCCCCTTGATTCACATAGCACTTTAAAGATAAACCATTTGTATATCTTTTTTAATCACCCAATGATTAGTGTGTGGTCCTTTAATTTCTGTTAGCTTCGCACCTTTTCCATCGAGTATTATGAGTATGGAGTGGGTAGCGCCTCTGAAAGTTAATTAATTGATGATTAATAGGAGCAAAGTATTGATTAATTACACGGATCTTAACTAACTATTTCTTGTTGAATTCCGTGAATATTATGTAAATTTTTCTTCTTTTTGTTAGATCACTTTGTGTAACACCATCAATTACATAATCAGTTATATCGTCTCTTATTTAGTGACTCGATTATTTTCTTAACAAATAAAGATACATATCAACATATCCACTCAGCGAGAGATATGCATGACCTGTCATAATTAAGCTCGGCTGAATAAACGCTGATTGCTGTTATCTCTATGTCTCAAATATCCTATATTTCTCTCTTTTTCTCTACAACAATTGTAAAAATCATTTGATATCTTGAATAAAAAAAGTATTAATATTATATAATTATAAAATGATAAAAAAATATTAAAGTGCTTATGTTTCTAGAAAGAGAGAGAAAAAGAATAATATCAGATATTATTCATTTATTACAGCCACTTCCGATTCAGAAATATTATCATGCGATAAGATGGAATGTATTTCGTGTTTTTTAAGTTTTAATCGTATGTAATTTTGCTCCTTTTTTACCCAATTATAATGATTCGTGAAGCATTTGTTGCATCTTGCTTCGTATTTAAAAAATTAACCCGAATATTTTTTTAATTATCTACACAATAACAGTTTTGTGA